CACTTCCGGTTTTCTGGTGGTTTACTGGAGATAGGAGTCTCACGGTCTCTCCTGCCCGGGCTGGCTTTGAACCGCGATCCTCAGATCTCAGCCTCCTGGTGCGCCACCAGCACCCGGCTTTCATTTATTTTTCTTTCGGTGCTGGAATAGGGCCTCGCACTCTTGCTTGACTTTTTTTATTCAAGGCTGGTGCTCTGCCACTTGAGTCACACCTCCACTTCCCAAATAGTTTAGTTCTTGCTGAACTTGAAGAAACAGGGCTTTCCTAACTCAGCATGTGGAAGTGTGTGGGAGAGTCAGCTGTGGGGTAGTGGCCGGGGCAGGGCAGGCCGCCGGCGATGTCCTGGTGATTCAGAGGCACTGTAGAGAAGGGAGGACCTGGAAAGCAGGCCCCGAGGGGAGGAGGGGAGCGAGGTGGGGACAGGTGGACAGGAACATGCTGGGGGCCTGGAGGAGGCTGTTCTGCGTGGGCTGTGGTGGGAAACTGAGAAAGGTATCGGTTTCTTTGAAACTAATTACAATTGTATTTTATTCTATTAGTGTGTTTTGTGCCAGTGCTGGGGCTTGAAGTCTAGGCCTTCCATTCTCACTTGGCTTTTTGTTTTTCTCCCCCTTCTCAAGTCTACCATTCTATCACTTGAGCCACAGATCCATGTTTGGCTTTTTATTGTAGTCAACTGGGGATGAGTCTCTCAGACTTTCCTGCTGGGGTTGGCTTTGAACCACTATCCTCAGACCACAGCCTCCTGAGTAGCTAGGATTACAGTCCTGAGCTACCAGTGCCCAGCAATCTTGCTCGTTTCTTACAACCCTGTGGCAGGGTTTTCTGGGAATCCATGACTAGGAGAATGTCTTCAGGGGGCAGCAGCCCAGACCTTTGGGAGACAATCATGGCTGAAGCACATGGCAGCCCAAGCACTTGACCCCATCTTTTGGCTCCTGTAACTAGTGCTGCTCTCAATATGTCTAGTCCTGCTTTTTTTGTTACTTTGTTAATTAGAAAAGTTCTCTGATATTTTAGCTCAGGCTGTCCTCATACTTAAGATCCTCCTGTCTTGTTTTCCTGAGTGCCAGGATTACAGGCATGTTCCACCATGCCTGGCTTTCTGAATCCCTACTTTTAATTCCCTTGAGTAGTCACTCAGACTTGGGATTGCTGTTGCTGCAGAAATACTTCTGAACCCTGCCTGAGGCCAGCTCAAGAAACCTCTTCATTCCTTATCAAGGGTTCACCCGTGGGTGTGCCCAGGGCCGAAGGAGAAAGACTCACCCCCAGGATCCATCTATTGATCCACGAGGACAGGGGTCAACCGTATCACCCACACACCTGACCACTGCTTTAAAAGAGTCAGCCTGCGCCTCGTCTGGCCCAGGACCCTGGCACTGCCCCAGCCTGCCAGCTCCGGGCACAGATGTCCTCCTGAGTCCACACATACGCAGATATACATACAGGCACATACACAGGAATACATACAACCATGTGGACACACACAGCAGACACACAGGAAGAGCCCAAGGACAGGGCAGACACAGCAAACCTCCAACTACAAGAGCCTCAAAACACACCATGGGGGCCCCAGTCACTGTGCCTGCTTCCCCTTCTTCTATGGGGCTCCTGCCAGCAGCAGGCTAAGCCTGCGCCCCTGGTCCAGCCTGGGAACCCTGAATTCCATCTGTTTCAGCACCCAGAAGTCAGGCCCCGGCTGCTGGCAGGAGAAGAGAGCCAGGCCCTGTAGGGCAGCAACAGGCAGCGGCTTCATTCTACAGCCTGGGGCCAACACTTCCCAGCGCATCACCTGCCCTTCATCCACGCCAGGCCTGGGTGACTCGTGGCCCCCTCAGGACTCCTGCCCCAGGCTAGCCTGCCCCGCCCACGGCCCCCCTCCCTCCAGCAGGGCATCAGTTCACAGGGCAGGGGTGGGGACACGGAGGCTGCCTCCTTGCGGGGAGGGACAAGGAGCCTTTACAGCCAGGAACAAAGTCCTCTGGCGGGAGCTCCTGGAGCCTGTGCTGTCGTGGGGACCCTGGTGTCCCGACCTGGCCATCCCCAGCTGCAGACATGCAAAGAACCTGGGTGCTGCTGCTACTAGCCCTGAGGCTCCAGCTGTCCCGCAGTGTCATTCCAGGTAATGGGGCACCCCCATGACCTGGCAGACGGGCTGCCTCCCTATCTGTCCTGTCTGACCTGGGTCCATGTTCCCCTTGGCCAGTGGCTGAGGAAGATGCAGCTTTCTGGAACCGAAAGGCAGCCGAGGCCCTGAATGCCGCCAAGAAGCTGCAGCCCATTCAGACCTCGGCCAAGAACCTCATCCTCTTCCTGGGGGACGGTGAGTGACACTGCCTGGACACCCCGGGGCCCCACAGCTCTGTACCAAGGGGCCTGGCCCCGGCGGGCACTGGGGCTCAGAGCTGACCGGGTTCTGCTTCTTCAGGCATGGGGGTGCCCACGGTGACGGCCACCCGCATCCTCAAGGGGCAGATGGGGGGCCATCTGGGACCTGAGACGCCCCTGGCCATGGACCGCTTCCCTTACATGGCTCTGTCCAAGGTGAGCACTGTCACCTGAGCCCCACAGCTGGAAGTACAGTGGTAGTGGGGTGGTCAATTCTGACCCAGATCAGAGCTGAGTTTCTGTCTCCAGACTTACAACGTGGACAGACAGGTCCCAGACAGCGCAGGCACTGCTACAGCCTACCTGTGCGGGGTCAAGGCCAACTACAAGACCATCGGGCTGAGCGCGGCTGCTCGTGTGGACCAGTGCAACACCACCTTTGGCAACGAGGTCTCGTCTGTGATGCACCGCGCCAAGCGAGCAGGTGTGGGGGGCCGCTGAGCTCAGGATGCGGGCAGCATCTTTGGAGGTGTGGGTGACCCGTGCTGACCCCTGCCCTGTGTGTGCAGGGAAGTCGGTGGGCGTGGTGACCACCACCCGCGTGCAGCACGCGTCCCCGGCGGGCACCTACGCACACACGGTGAACCGCAACTGGTACTCAGACGCCGACATGCCGGCCTCGGCGCTGCAGGAGGGCTGCCGGGACATTGCTATGCAGCTCGTCTCCAACATGGACATCGACGTGAGCGCGCGCGCGGGCGCCGCGGGCCGCGGGCAGGGCGTGGGCCGCTGGGGCTGGGGGGGCACGGGCAGGAGAGCGGCCAGGCCCAGCGCCCAGCTGCTGCTGTGTCCACAGGTGATCCTGGGCGGGGGCCGCAAGTTCATGTTCCCCAAGGGGACCCCGGACCCCGAATACCCAGCGGACGCCACGCGGGCAGGAAGCAGGCTGGACGGACGCGACCTGGTGCAGGAGTGGCTGGGGCAGCACCAGGTACCCTGGCCCCGGGGAGGGGCGCGGGCGGGCCGGCGGGCGGGCGGGCGCGGCCTCCCCCGCGCTGAGCGCTGTGCTCCTCTAGGGGGCGCAGTACGTGTGGAACCGCACAGGCCTCCTGCAGGCGGCCCAGGACCCCGCGGCCACTCACCTCCTGGGTAAGAACCCGCTGCCGCGCTGCCCCCCGCGCCCCCGCGCCCCGCGGGCCCCGGCTCACCACGCCGCCTCGTCCCTCAGGCCTGTTCGAGCCCACCGAGATGAAGTACGAGATGAGCCGAGACCCCGCGCTGGACCCGTCCCTGGAGGAGATGACCGAGGCGGCGCTGCGGGTGCTGAGCAGGAACCCGCGGGGCTTCTACCTCTTCGTGGAGGGTGAGCGGCCGTTCCGGGGGTGGGGGGGACCCCGGGCAGGAGCCGCACCCTGGCACTGCCGCCTGCTTCCCGTAGGGGGCCGCATCGACCAAGGCCACCACGAGGGCGTCGCACACAAGGCGCTGACGGAGGCCGTCATGTTCGACGCCGCCATCGAGAAGGCGGCGCTGCTCACCGACGAGCAGGACACGCTGACCCTCGTCACCGCCGACCACTCCCACGTCTTCTCCTTCGGGGGCTACACACAGCGGGGCACCTCCATCTTTGGTATCCCAGGGGACAGTGGCGGGGCTGCTGGGTCAGTGTGGTGGCAGAAATCTCTGCATCTCAGTTTCCTCAAATGTCAAGAGCATCGAGGGGTGTCTCAGATGCTCCATGGTCAGCTTCTAAAGGCACAAGGCCCTGCTTTGTAGCCCCAGTAGTGTCAAAAAGAGGCTGTGGTACCCCCTGGCTGTAATGTCAGCTACCTGGGACGCAGAGGCAGAAAGTCCTAGAGTTAAAGGTCAGCCTGGGCAAACTGACCCTGTCCAGAACCAAAAGGACTGAGTGTGTGGATCCAGTGGTAGAAGGCTTTTCCAGCAGGCCTGGGCCTTGGTTGTATTCCTAATTCGGGGGTATGGGGGGGGTGTTATAACAGCAGCTACATTAGGCCCGTGACCTGTGACCTGGCCCGTGGTACACATACCCATAAGCAGAGGTCCAGAGAGGACAGTGTCCCCTTCTCCCTGTGCAGGGCTGGCTCCACAGAAGGCCTTAGACGGCAAGTCCTACACGTCCATCCTCTACGGTAACGGCCCTGGCTACGTGCAAGGCACCCGGCCCAATGTCACAGAAAGCGAGAGCGGTGAGTGCAGGGGAGGTCAGGGGTCGGGAGCACGAGCAACTCAGGGGTAAAGCTCACTGCCCTGATTGCCCTGTCCCACCAGTCGCAGAAACATACCGGCAGCAGGCGGCCGTGCCCTTGGCCTCAGAGACTCACGGCGGGGAGGACGTGGCGGTGTTCTCCCGTGGCCCGCAGGCGCACCTGATGCATGGCGTCCAAGAGCAGAACTACATCGCGCACGTCATGGCCTTCGCCGCCTGCCTGGAGCCCTACACCGACTGCGGCCTGCCGCCCCCGGCCGGACAGACCAACACCTCCAACCCCGGTCAGGCCAGCACCCCCCGGCCTGGCCAGATCAGCACCTCAGATCAAGGCCAGAACAACGCTGCAGGCCCCAGCCCGGCCACGGCTCCACCTCTGCTGCTGCTGGCCGGAACGCTGCTGCTGTTAGTGGGAATGCCAGAGGCCCTCTGATCCCATCCCGACCTGGTACCACCCCAGGCCCCCGTGCTGTCTGCTCAGCCCTACCTACAGAACCCCTGCATCTGTGCCAGTTTCCAGCACCCAGCTCTAGCCGCCAGTTCCTGAGCTCCCACCAAAGGCTATTCGCAAGGCCCCTTGATTGGGGATGAGGCAGTAGCTTCGGACTGCTCAAGGCTTTCTCCCCTCAAAGGACTGTGGCCACCATACTCAGGGTCCTCAGGAACCTCCTCTAGACCTCCCCAGTAAAGCTGAGGGCTTGGACAACCACTCCACCCCATGTATGGCTTTTCAGATAATCTAGGGGGTGCAGATCCAATGGTGTCACTCACCAAATCAGCCCGACCCAGTATCAGGTTTTGGTGGCTTTGGTCTCTGTGGTTCCTACAGGAAACTAAGACTTGAGCACAGGAGGAAGACCCGGGGGGCTGGCCGTTTGCTACCCCCACCTGACCCTGCTGGCCAAGGAGGCTGCTGGGGCTAGATGCTGACACAGCGCCACGGCCGCCTCCATACCTTGCTCCCTTCAGAAGCCCAGGAGAGGTCGCCACTCACTCAGATCCTCGGCGCACACTGCCTATCTATCCCCTGTCCAGGCTGGAACCCGAGGAGGGGCAGGGGGCAAAGGGGCCGGGGCAAGGCGTCCAGAGACCACTGAGCCCCTCCAGCCTATCTCAGGCAATAGACAAATTTCCAAGAAAAGAACACTCTTGTCCTCTTGGGATTCCCATTCTCCCTGGAGAGACAGCAATAATAATAAAATAATAAAATGAATTGGTGGATAATGTCATAGCAGCAATCCTTCCTAGAGATAACAGCCCCTAATGCCTGGTGGCAGAGTGCAGATGGGCAGGTTTGGGAGTAGGATCTGGAGGCCTGGAAGAGGGTACCAGAGGGTGGGGAGTTGCGCAATCTCCTGGGCCAAGCGAGGCCTTGAGCACAGCAGAGGGGCTGTGGGGTGCAGGGGGACCACGACGGCCTTCTCCTCCTGATGATGAGCTGCCGGTCTGTGAGGAGAACTGCAATGTTCATCCATGCCTAAGGCCCTGGCCTTGAGCTGCCTGAGAGGGTGGGCAGGGCCCCCAGAGCAGCGGGGCAGCAAGGGCAGGAGGAGTCTCTTGACAGCTGAGCCCTCAACAGGCCCCGGCTGGTGGCTGCTGAGAGGTTCTGGGGCCCCCAGGTCTCAGCTCAAGATCCTGAGAGTACATGGTTACCCACCCTGCACTCAAAATGACTTGGCTTTGCTGGCAGCTGAAAAGTGCCCCTGGACAAGCATGACTAGCCAGTCCCAGGCAGACACAGGCCGGTTCTGGGCTCATCACTGCCCTCTGTCTCCTGAGCCAAAACAGGGGATGTGGGGAGAGGTGCTTGCTCAGCACCACAGTTGTGCAGGATCCTGGGGCCAGGTGAAGAAAGGGCTGTCTATAGACGTGCAGGGGATGTCACCATATCCTGGTCCCCCTGTGATCCCACACTGGGGGCCACCCAGTACCCGCCTGGGAAGGACTTGGACGGGTGAGACGGCAATCTAGGCACACAGAAGCTCAGCCTGGATGGGTGCTAAGACTCAGTCACACCGCAGGACACACTCCTGGTCCCGCGGGCCACGGGGCCTGATGGCACAGGCCACACCATTTCCTGCCTTTCCATGGGGCAGGACACTGGGCAGAGCCGGCCTCAGGGCTGGCCTTCACCAACCAACCACCTCCACACCTGGTCCTGGTGCAGGACCACCATGCTACACCTTCCCTAGGAATCAACTTGACTCAGTTTCCCCAGACCCAGGGAGAGAAATGGCACATAGAAGGCTGCCCAGGCTCCCGTGGGGCAGGAAGGAGCAACGGCCTCTGGAACTGGGAGACCGGACTCCCCTGACAGTGCTCCTGTCTGACCCTGGGACCTGGACTCCTACTACAGTGCTCCCACCTGGCTCCCCTGATGTGGCTGTGCACATAGGTGGCCACCCTACCCAGGGTGCCCAGCAGGGGTCTGAGGCAGCAGCCTCACCTGCGGGGCGTGGAGTGGATCAGCTGGGACACCTGCTGCATGTAGTCTGTGGCCAGCAGCACCACCTCCTCCTCCTCTGAGAAGTCCTCCTGGAAGATCTGGTCCAGCAGCCACTTCCAGCGCAGCTGTGGGACCCAGGACAGCAGCCACAGAGGACAGAGCGAGGATGAGGAAGAGGAACGGAGGACACGGACCCCGGCTGCCTGGAGGGCCTTGCCCATCCCTCTACAGCCAGGATGCGCCTTTACAAGGCACCAACCAGGGCTTCGGCACTCACATGGGGGGTGATCTTCTGCAGCTGCGCCAGCGTCACCTTGTTGTACATGGAGCTGACATCGCGACGCAGGTCATCATACTCTGACACGGTGATCTGGGGGGAGACCCGAGCTGAGCCTGCCTGCCCCTGC